GTAACCACACACAGAACAGTTCTTACCGAAATCAGTTGGTGTATCACAAAAATACTTTTAAATGGCAACCACTGCGTTATCACCCACGTTTACTAGGATGTTGTAGAACTGAATCTTAAAATTCTAGTTGCACTGCTTCAATTAAATTTTGTGTTATACAGGAAATCTCACTATGTACCGCGTCCCACTATGTACCACTTGCCCCTACTTCAAGTAAAAGTACTTGAAGTAATACTTCAAGTACTTTAAGTACTTCAACTACTTTACTTGAAGTACTTTTATATTTAGGTACTTGGTACTTGGAGTATTTCTAAAATGTACTTGAGTTTAGTACTTGATTTTGCCAAGTACTTTACTCCAAGTACTTGACTCAGTATTTTAAATACTCTTGAATTACTTGAAGTATGAAAGTGGAAATTTCAAATGCTTTAGTCTCTATTTTACGAAGTTTTCAGATCTCAAAATAGGGTCTGTTAAATACTTGAAGTTATTAATTCAATTATTTGATTAGATGTATTTTTATAGTAAAATCGTGTTTGTTTCCTGTGAGGTTATATTTTGATCTGTGATTGTGGATATCTTATCCACAATATGACGTACATTTCATAGGTACTTGCATAATGCCGATAGATAGGTAGGTAAGAAAATTAATGTCATAAATATGTCATTTGAGAGTGGATGACGACAGCAGAAGGGTCGGAGATCTGTGTAAAATTTTCAGCGATGTAAAGTGGTGAATATATGAATTTTGTCTTTTTTGTATTTTGGTCTGGAACTTAACTTTGCGGGTAGTTTTTCAGTACCTTCCCGGTACCCCAAAGGGAATCGGGTTTGTTGACGTACCTGCTAAAGTGCAAGGTCGGATTTGAAAATATTTGAGAAATGATTCAGTACTCGTTCAAAAAGATATTTATTCTTTCATTAGTTTCTTAACCCCGCCGTGTATTTGTCAGCAAGAAGCCTGGTCAGGGCGGAGAACTCGGCAGGGGATTATCCCTTTTATTTATTTTATTTTTTTATTTTATTAATTACGTCCCCCAACAGGCACTGAGGCCCAATTACAGGGGAACGGGAAAATATAATAGCAATAGCTGATGGCAGGTACAGACTTTCATATTCGCCTTTTGCTCCTAGAATTTAAACACAATTTTATGTTAAATATTTTGCAGTTTAATTTTCTTTATCATGTTAGACACTCGTTTTTTACCAAATTTTCTTTTTTTGTTTATACATGGTTCAGCCATATAAACTTAGTTTGTTATTACTACTTATATTTTCTCACATTACAGTTTCAAATAATCTGTTAAATTGTATGAATTATTTGAACACCAACAATTTAAAAAGACGTAATGCAGAAAAACAATGATTTTAAAAGTCACACTAATTAGTGCCATTTATCTTTCCTGTGCGGATTTTATTTATTACCGTACAACAACTTTACGTATTACATTGCATCGCTTATTACATAAACCCAATATTGTTCAAAATGAAATATGTTTTGTGAAACTCGGCTTGTAGTACCAATGTTTTTCGTAATCCAGTTGATACGACCATGATTGTATGGTTTTGATGAGTACCGAATTGTACTTTGATATTGCTCGAAGGACCTTTGTTTTGTTGTGTGCGAAATAATAGACAGCGTTCGGTTTCGATGTTTAAATACAGGACGGTTACAGAAGTACTGAATTTACATTTGTATTTACAATATCAGGTAAAGATACCCAAAAGGGTCAGTGGCCGCTTCCGTAAATGGAACAAAATACATATTCACATTATAAAAAAATACAAAGTTAATGAAATTCGCGATTAGTTAGTATAATTGCCTAGATAAATACACCCCTACGAAATATTTTAACAATAATAAATTTAGTACATATTTACCTGAATTTTCGCAAAAGCCGTTGTTAGGCATTCCCTGAAGTCATTGTAGTTATCAGTTACTAATGTCATCTTCTTTGGGTTGTCAGGTAAAAATAAAAAATAAGCCAATCGAAAATGTAAAGGAAAATTTTGAAAGTATTGTGGCATTAGAGGAACAAAATTTTGTATAAATGGACGGAACAGCATTACGAACCTATTATTTGTGATTTGTCAGTGTAAAGTTACATACTTAGTTAGACAAACATTGTAGTGATTAGTGTTTACTATTTAGTCACTGTAGTATTTAGGTTAATTTAATAATTTTTAGAATAGTAAATACGTAAGTGGTAGACAGATATATTCAGGAATATGGGGCATTCATTCCAAGAAAATTCTCAGCATTTTTGGTAACCGCAAAAGTAAAAAACGACTAATTACTTTGATCACCTTGATATTTTTCAAGAGTTATAGTTTTCGCTGAAAATGGACTCTCGTTTTAGGCATTTTATTTTTTATTTAAAAAATTCATACATTTTTTTTGAAAATGCAACATAGTGACTTAAACATTTTTATGTCACGAGCATGTATATGTATCGCACTGCTCTTAAAAATTTTTTCTGAAAAATTTCACTTTCACAAATCCGGCCCTGTGCACTTTCACAATGGGTAATGATTAAGGGTGCTGTAAACTGCCCACAAACTTAAACACGGAACCGGTTCATAAAATTCATATATTTTTAACACAACTTTATTAAAAAATCAGAACGTTTTGGTGGTGAACCAAAATTCAAAATATTAAAAAAAGGCAACAGAAGCCTGAGAAAATACCATACAGCGGCGATGTTTTTGTTATAAATTAATAGTAAGCATACATAGACAACGCCGTCATGTATTTTATTTTAAATTTTAAATTAGAAATAGACGTTAATTTTGTCGAAGGTATTGTGTCAACAGAAAGATGTAAAAGTATTTCAAAAGAATATTGTTTATAAATAACATAATATTATTAATAAGTGAGCTACCATTCTGCATTTAAGTTGATGCTTATGCAATTTTTTATGTGGCGAAATATGTATTATTGTATACTTAAATTCTGAGTATTAAACAATTCAGTTCTAAAATATATTAAGCTTTTTTAAAAAAAAACAGGAAAAGTTATCTAATTCTACAGTATTTCAAATAATTAGAAAGTACTTGAAGCATTTTCAGTACTTCAAGTATTTGTAAGTACTTGAACTATACCTCCAGTAATTCAAGTACTCGTAAATACTTGAAGTAATGTACTTGGCTTGTACTTCAAGTACATCTGAAAAGTACTTGATACTTGAAATACTCTTGCTGAAAGTAAGTACTTGGTACTTTACTTGAACACTATTTCAAGTAGTACTTTGTACTTGGTACTTCAAGTACTTTTTTTGAGTACTTTGAACAGCTCAGACACCTAGATACTTTATTTCAGACACTAATTTGAATTTATTGCCAACAATTTATATATTAAAATCATATGAGTTGTTATTCTTTGTCTTTTTTGTTAAAATTATAGATTAATAAGTTTTGTCTGTATTAATTTGCAACTTATTAATTTAAAGTAAGTACGTAAAAATTTCATTCAAAATCTGATTAAGTCCGTTTATGCCATTATTTACACCATCAAAAAGAAAGGTAATAGGAATAACGAACGTAGTATCATCAGCAAATAAATTTAAAAAGTCACAATTTATATCTGTGTAGGTGTATGTCATTAATAAGTTAATAACTCATTGTTCATTAATATACAAGACGAAACGCAATGGGCCAAGGACACTTCCTTACGGAACTAATGAAAATAATATTCACAGAAAAATTGTTACAACACAGGTCTGAATAAATTAAAAATTGCCACATATGTACATAGATGTATTTTTGAATGTTAACAATAATAATTTTTAAACAATACTTTAGTGAATATAATTGTGCTATTTGCCTATTCAAAAAATCATTCTTTTTTTTTTCTAATTTTTCCAGACTTTTGGCTTTTCGCTAACACTGTTAAAAAATGCTCTAAAAAAATAAGATCGCTATTTAAAAAATACTGTTCCCATCTTCTCAGTACCGAATGCTATGGTAAAACGTGTTAGTTGCATTGATTTTAAATAGACTAATAAGACAGTTGTCATGACATTTCGAAACGACAACCACAACAATGACACATTGTATGGACACTGATGAGGGTTTCAGCCCCTCGTTGGCAACTATTTTTTTCAATAAAAGTTATTCCATACATACATTACAGGCCCCTACATTTAACTTTATAAAAATATCAGTCCGGATCATGCTGGTCTAGTTATAAGTTATAAAACACTCGTATTCAGCGATTGACTGAAGTGTATTGATCTTACTCACTTTTTTTTTCTGGCATCACTATAAATAAAATTTGGCAAACTGCAGCCTCTCGAAAAGCTTAAACCCTTAGCTTATTTCTGACCCCATTTTGTGTCTAGACCCCCGAGAAAAAAATCATTATGGTCAATAATTTGACAAAGTAGAAGATAGCATGCATGTTAACTAACATTAATAACTTCATCAACGAATTCATTTACCTCAGTAACACTGAGATATATTATTTTAAACAAAATAATGTAATGACGTAATCATGTTTTGGGTTATCTTATCTGATTAAATTTAATGACTTCGCGCTAAATTTAATTTTCGATAAGTAGGTAATAATAACAGAAAACAATATAAACATAAAGATTCTCCCATTAATTGCACTTGTTACGACATCCGCCGATCCTTTAATAAAATTCAAGAGCTACAAGAGCACTTTTCAGTACTTGAAAGACAGCAGATTTTAGTGATTGCAAATCCAGCAGTACAGGAATTACTGGGTCGAGAAAAATAATCTCTCGGTAATTACTTGGACGTAAAACAAACCCAGAGGGTGTGTCTGGTACAGTAAACAACACGAAGAAATTAATCATCTAGCAGTTCGTAAACATTAAACAACAGTAATTAACACTTCTTTGCGAATAGTCATTAACCTCAAACGTTCTAATGAATAACCCTCGTAATTGCAGTGGTTCAATTAAAGTATGACCTACGCATGTCATGCGTATTTTTGCAAAACCTTCCGCAGTCATCCATTTAAACAATTAACATCTCCGAACGGAAGTGTCATCTTGCTCGACGTGCATTTGTTGTTTTCATTTGACACTTGTCATTAAATTGTAGTAATCGCGTTGTTGCGTACGTCGTAGTAAACACGGCAAAAACAAAACAGCGTAACGTGTCAAGTGTGTTTAATTTGACGTAAGTTGTGCAAGTAATATTTTGATATTTTTATCCTGTCGTGACTTACTTTTGGGTTAAATACTGGGTCGTCCAATCGATGACTCCGCCGATGACTTCCAAGTTAATCAACTTGTAGCTTGCTAATTTAACAGGTAGTTGATCGTTGGGGTTGACGGTTTGAGCAAAATTTTCAAAAAATTCACGGTAGTAAGTCAAATAGTCGTCTTTATTAGCCATAGTCACTAGGAAAACTTATCACAGGCACTTTTCTGCTAAAACTTTGAACACTATGTACACAAGTTTCGTTGTTTACAGAGTTAACTGATATGTATATTTGTACTTTGATTAAGACCAGTTTTGCAAACGTAATACTGTCGTAAAGGTAAATCTAATTTATTGTAGTTTACTAGCTGAGAATACCATTCATAAAAAAGTACACCTCTGACTCATTCGCCTAACCCAACTAGCAAATCAGCGATGATAGGTTTCATTTTGTTAGGATCGTGTTTACCAACATAACAAATACAAAAAATACTCGCTACGGATGCGGGCGCGTGCGCCAACCATACCGACCACCATCCATACTCATTTATTAACATACCACGCTACAATTACATCAAAACACAATAATTCGACGGATCCACTTGAGTCGGAATTTCTCCTCTCATCTCTTTGGCTTTTATATTCAAATAACTCGCTTCGTACTCCTTTTGAATATGTTCAGGTAAAGGCGTGTTCCAATTTTCAGGGGGCGATTTCCGTCGCGTCCACACGTCATTGCCATAATGGGGTTCTAATCTCTGTCTGCGTCTCGCTTTTTCATTCTCTACAATTTCTTTCTGAAAACTACAACGTAAAAAAATTTACAAAAGTATGGATAAATACCGCCGATTTGACATCTTTGTTATCTCGCCATCTGCAGCAATTATCGTAGTCTCGTTTCCACGGTATACAATTGAGAGTTTCACCAAACACGAAGTATTGGTGAAATCTGCCCTTTATTGAGGTACAGTCTTTGTATTCTTCGTCGTACACAGGGCATGGTCGAATCTATAATGTTAACCTTACGTAACGAAGGTAATGCGGGCACTTCACCTGTACCATCCATTCGTCTTCAACAGTGGGTGCTTTTTCCTCATTTTCAGTACTAGTTTCAGTCATTCTAAAAATTTAAAACATTCACAACACCCCACACATCGCACTTTTAAGTTTGAGGTTAGTTTATTGTTGCACGGTTGGCTGCCATGTCATGCACGTGACTTACGCTTACTTTTACGCGGGAATGTTTATATCGTACTTAAAAAAAATCAATTATTTTAGAAATTATTGCGATAATAAAAGTACATAGTGACGTATTATGTATTTTTTTAAGAAGCTAATAATAGACGTAGCTGCAACTAATTACATACATTGTCATTATCAGTTTGTTTTATCAGAAACTTTACTCCTCACGTATAATGATAAGCTTTAACAAACTTGCAGTAGTTAAACTCCTTAGTAGGAAGACCCAACAATGGCTAAACTCATTGGAACTTACACCCACGAAAGAAATGAAAATTTGGAACCATACTACTCAGCTATTGGTGAGTCACTTTATTTAAAAATTAATATTTAACGCACTTTGTAGGCGTGCCGTATGTCGCCCGCAAAATGATGTCATTCACTAGCCCCAGACTTACAATAAGTAACGAAGGGGATGAATGGACAATTACTACAAGTACCACACTAAGAACAGTTTCATCCAAATTTAAACTGAATGAAGAATATGATGAAGATATGCCTAAGGGAGCATTAAAGGTGTTAAAAGAAAATTGTTGCGTTAAAGTTACCCATTTGTTTACAGAGTACCACTACTGTTGAAGACGAATCTACTCTGAAAACAGTTTCAGTTGGACCTAACGATACAAAGATAACACGCACGTACACGTGCACTGATGAAGGATGCGTTCTTGTAAACACATTTTTAAAATATTTACACTTTAGGTGTTAATCTTTCAAGTTTCAGACTCTACGGCACGAGGGAAGCGGAACTGAGGCAAAACGATATTTCAAGCGGGTGTAAGAAATTTCAGGCAATTCTCTCCTCCAATTTATGCATTTTTTTAATATACGTAATACTCTATCTCTATGTGGAAAAATGATTGTGCAATAAATGTAATCAATGTTTGAAAGCATTAAAACTAATCCTTACTATATATGTCAACAGGTTTCAAGTAAAACGCTTTCACTTTTATATAACTTCTATTCATCATTTCATAAAATAATCATATAAAACAACTAACCCTTTGAATACCCTGGACATTATAATTTGCCTAGTATCCACGCTTTAAGACTGATTTAATTGACAACTTCAGTCTTACTTAACTGCAGATTATCACTGGTTGGTTTAATATTGTCCACGAGTTATGGGTTACAATGAAAAATAACACTACAATGACTGACCAAATACATAAAACGAAAAAAGCAAAAAATGAATTTATGCACAGAATGTTAACAAAATAAAATGTGTTAATACACCTAGTTATTTTCCTGTATAAGCAAGAGTTGTAGTAAATAGAACCTTTTGTCTGTTCTTGATTTTTTTCTTTTTCCCGGAAGGTACCGCACCTGAAAGTAACCCATCAAAACTGACCACTAACACCTTTATGAAGTATTACCAGGGTCGTGGAACATATCGTTCACTTCAGCTTTTTGAAGAGCTTTCACTATTGCGTCTCCCAGACTAGTACTAGGTGGAATAGGTTCCAATTCCTCCAAATCCGGCTCACTGTCGCTTTTGTTAATGCGAACCCCATTGAAACAACTAGACACTTTTTGGCCCGTTACGTTAATTAATTTAGTTGGAACTGTTGAAGTTTTCAGAGCGGGCCATTTAATAGTTTCTGGTTTTTTGGCACTTGCCAACATCTGAAACAATAGTTGAGGCAACACAAATACACGTTTGAAGTTTTACCTTGGCAAAAGAAGGTCCCGCATGTTCTTGTTCGGCGTTGAGGCTATTCGGCGGTGTTGCAATTTCAGGCAAACTTCCTTCGCTGGGTTGGGTACATTCGGACTCGGTTCTCACTCGTCCATCAAAACATGGAAATTGGTCTTGTGATTCCAAATGAATATTTGCGGTGGGGTATCTACCCAGTAACCTATTTTCTTCATCTGCGATCTTCTTTTCACGACGCTTTTCTTCCCGGGCTCGACGTTGGCGCCGCTTCTTACGTACGTCGATTTGTTCTTCAAAAAAAAAAAAAATAATAAATTATAATAATGATAGGAACAACTTAGAGCGAAATTTGACAAGGAAATGTTTATTTAAGTTTGTGTGGTAAGGGGACTGACCTTTAGTGGTACAGAAACCAGAAAGGCTAATTATCCTCACTATACTATGGCACAAAAACCCATCAAACTCTTGACGGTGACAAAAGTTTGATTCAATGCCTTTGTGCCTGAGGTCAAAATTTGTAATTTTAATACGACTACTGTAGACCTACCACTGAAGTGTTGAAGAGTCTCTTTGGATACAATAGGTTGTTTTAGCTGGATTTCAGCCACCTCAAACTGACAAGTTACCGGCAAATGTTGCAAATATCTCAGCCGTTTTCTTAGTTCTTCTGTCATTGATCCTCCCTCTTTCTCAAGAATTTTGCCAGTTATTGTTTCAGGACTATGTTCTAAGGACCCATAAGTATGTTCAAGCATCCTTGCATTGATAGCGTGGAGATAGATATGTTGACCGTCGGAAGCTAAAATTTTTTAAAACATGTATTACCATCATTGAAAATTTTAAAAATTTTATTCGTTAAAAAAATTATCGAGTTTCCTCCTTAGATTAATGTAGCCAAGTGCCGAAGACGTATATTTGTAAAAAAATAAATATACTGAAGGAAACCTAGCTTTTATTTACCAAAGAAACAATTTCACAAAGCCTTGTGCGGCAGTGTGTACTCAACCCTTTGGATGACAAAAATACTATTTATGACAAAATATACGTTGAACCCAAGTGCAATAGTGATAATAATTTAACGAAAGCACACTATTTTTGCAAAGTAACAAACTTCTTCAGTCTTAAAATGAACCGTAAACTGAAATTTGGTGGTCGACAAACTGAATCAACTAAATGTTTGTAAAACCCGAATTTTAATGTCGTTGCGCGTCATCTGTCACAAATAGACGTAGACTTTTACCAATGAGGTTGTTCGAGCATTATTACTACTATACAAAATAGCGTGCTAAGATGACAATGTAAGGATCCGCCACATCTGAACACAAATTGCGAATTTACCTTGATAAAAGTAGTGGAATTTTGATTGCTGAGTAGTGGTCGATATGTCCAAATTTTCGCGTTCCACGTTGTTGCTGCTAATGCCTTCAAAAGGCGCATCAGTGTTGTCTGCGATGGCTAAATTCTCATTAAAATTCTCCGCATCTTTATTCAACTCGCATGCTTTATTTTCATCTAGGAAATTCGTGCCTGGTTCGAAATTCCTTAACACTGCATTCCTACGTTCATCTAGTAGACGCAACGCTTCCTCAATAAAACAATTCTCTGGACACTCGCCGTTTTCTATTAGTTGTGCCTTCAATTCGTTATTTTCTCGATCAATAATTGACAAGACCTCTAGTTGATTGGCAACAAGTAATTTAGAATAAACGTCGTTTTCTGCGTCCGAGAGATTGAAAATTTTCTCTTCGCGTACTGTTGCAGCGGCAGGATAAGTAACCAGGGATCCTTTGACACGTTTCATTAATTTAAAAGTTATAACGTTATCAACGTTAAAAGTTTTATAATGTTTGCTAGTGACACTTTTTAGATCCTGTTTGTAAACGGACTCGTAACATATAGGACATTTGCGCCAAGTTTTATCAGACAGGGACAAATAATGGAGAACGCAAGACCAGCAGTAAATATGACCACACCTCGTCATTTTGGCAGCAACCGGAGGATAAAGACATATTGGGCACGATGGGTAATCAGACACTTGGACATTCTTAAAATATACACAATCAACTTCAAAATACTACATGTTTTAATAACTTACCACTTGCTCAATTAGACTCCAATCAACTAAGGCATCAGGGTTGTTCATGTATTGCTTGTAGTCACCCGAAGAATTCACAACAAATTGACAACTGCGACGAAAACGAATTAAAATACTGACAAACACGTCACAAAAACGCATACTTTGCTTGTAGGAAGTGCTCTTTGTTGTATTTATGCTTCTTGGTGAGGATCAAACGATTGGAGTTCTTATTGCTAGACCCTCTCTCAGACTGGTAACGTCCTTCTCTCGTAGGAGTTACATAAACGAAATTTAGCAAATGATTAAGGCTTTGTTTTTTACTGCCTGGTAGAAAAACTGAACCCAATTCAGCTTCAAAGTCCTCTTCTAGCCGGGTTGTCTCCGTTCGACCCATAGTAGAACCGGTGTTGAGGGTTCCCCTCGGCCTAGGTCTTTTAATATCGAAATTTTTAACAGTACGTTGTGGGGTGGGTTTACGCGATGATTCGTTTTTTGACGCCAGGCTGCCGCCAGCAGGCTCCCTGCGGCGCCCGGACCGGGGCCACAATTTACCACTGGCACCATCTGCAACAACAGTAAAACGCTTTCTCGTGAATCGATTTTGTGTGTCGCGCTTTAGTTCGCAAATCCATCATAATTTTTTATAGCAAGTCGTGGTTATTTATCTATTTTTACGATTTTTTTATTGTTGCTGTTATATTGTAGTAAATTGTGAATCAAAATTCATGCTTATACCCTTCCAAAACTTTCTACCGTCTTCCCAAAATTTTGCCAAATAAATCCTATTCACAATGTGCAAAATAGCGTACGTCTGCACTTGTGGTTTATCAATGCATTAATATTGCCAACAATGCATCTGCAGTTTTTTAAAAAATACACAAAATTGTATAACAAAATTTTTGAATTTATCTTAGAAACTACTCGACTAATTTTTCTGAAATTTACCACATGCTTTGAGGTGATCATCAGTCTGATGGATCGCTAACCAGAACCTGTCTAGCTACCCCAACCAAAAATTTGATGGCGTCACCTCAAAAGTTTGCAAAGTAAACCCTCTTTAATTAAGTGTGTACATTAACATGCGTCTGTACGTGTTTCGGTTAACTTAAATTAAATCGGTTGTTTCTGAAACAATAGGCAAAATAAATCATAAGAACAGTTTTAGATTTAAGTATCTAACAGCTTTTTAAAATGACGTAATTAAGTTTCAAAAATATTCTATCATGACGTCATCAAATGTTTGGAGGGACTGAACAAGCAAATTTTGTATACCAATTTACCATATCCTACAACATCGGTTCAATAATTTCAGAGACTGTATGCTAAACAAAATTGCCAATAGACAATAATCAAACCGAAACGAGAAAACAAATGACCTGTTTTCGTATTCTACGAGCTGTAGACATGAAGAAAACATAAAGTTATAGACTTTATTAGAGTACTTCCATTAATTCACAATCCAAAAATAAAAAGTGGTCGATTTTACTTTGAGTAGGTGATGCCATGAGTGTTTCAAATGAAGTAAATAGTAATTAGTTCGTAATACGTGTCATGCCGTTCACCATTTTAAATCCACATATTACAGCGGTTTTGAATTTTTGAAGACGACTTGCAACAGACACTACTACTTTAATGTCAGTTAGGTCATACATAACTAACATTTAAAAATGTTCACTTTATTTGTTTCACAAAAATTATCTAAATTACCTCTCCCAAAAGTATCAATTACTTGCAAAATTTAATCAAGTGCGATACTTCACACAATGATATTCATTTATTTATTCACGAAATTATGCTGAGCATTTTTTTTTTTTAAATTTATTTCAAACAAACATTCCAAAATTGTGACTTGAATATTCATACCTTCCTACCAACATTTCCGGAAAATTTGTTAGTAAAGATAAAAATGTCAGTAATTATTATTAACGGATGAAGACAATGCCTATAAATATCACAAGGTAGAGTGGAAATATTGAACACATACCAAGAGAACGACTGGGTAGATGTGAAAGCATATAGACAAAGTATACATCGAATGTATTTTTTAGAATGCCCTCAATTCACAAAGCCTACGTGATAGATTGTGATGGCTCAACAAGTTCCTCTCACAATATTTTCACTCTTAGTTTATCTTTTTCCAATAATAAGGACTTTGGAGTATAAAGTGCTAAACGTGTGTCTTACATAATGTATTTACGCCTCGTAAATCGCTTTATCTTTGTTCCACGTCAAAGGAAAATATAGATTATGATTTTCACCGAAATTTGTATGATGAGACGGTCACGTGAAAACTTAAAATTAACTTTAAAATGAATGTAAATAAAGCCTTTGTGAAAATGATTAAAACATGTTTAGTCATCCACATTGCGCTGGATTTTGACATTGCAATCTTAACATAATACGTAGTGAGCTATCTAAGGTGACCCTGTAATCATGCTTTGATCAAAACAAAGCTTATTTAACAACAATCTTCGGATAGTAGTTGGATTATACAAAACGGTGAAAGTAGTTCATAGACAATGCACAATATATTGAGTTTTATTGTAGTTACTACATTGACAGTTGATGAATTAGCAAGACAACTAAAATAGGAACTTATTTCACCCACCCAACTACTACGCCGCTGACTTCTCAGCACTTACGGCACCAAAAACGGCGAGTCCAACCCTGCCCCGGGCTATTTATGCACCGCCTTTCAAAATAACCGACAAAAATTACCGCAATTCAAAGTATGCAAAAAAATTGTTACGTAAATTGTAGGTACATCAGCGGCCATATTGGCAATTTTTTCTGACCTTGTACAAAACATACAAACCTTGACTTTTTTTGGAGTCAGAAGTCAGCCCCTTGGAAGCAGGCTGAACTGAACGACTCCCTTTTTTCTCCATACCAACGTCCTCCAGTCTTAAAATTAGCTAATTGTTGGGAGAGTTGAGCTCCTCCACATGGAGTGGCAATACGCAGATTCGAAGCAGACATTTTAAAAAGCCATGTTTTATAAAATCACTAAACAAGAAAAATACTCAATCACACAGTATTTCTCTCGAATTTTCAACGCCGAAAGGGTAATCGGAAAGTTAAACGGGCAACTTTCGGGAGCAGGAAACTCCCTGTCGTCGAAAACGACGAATTTTCACACAAAAACACTTCTCGCGATCTCGTCGCAATGGTGGCGACGGGAAATTAATTTTTTCGTTGGAGGAAAAAACGTGATTGGCTGGCGGGAAGCACGCCTGCCAACATGACTTTGGCGGCAATTTTAAACAACCAACTTTATTTGTCTAAATTATTAAATTACAATACAATCAAATAAATAACTAATTACATAGCATCGAAATGAAACCGGTGGGATTCGGATAAGCGCTCCTTTTTATCTTCTTGCCTCTCCTTCCAGTGTAATACTCCGATAATCACAGTTATTATGCCGCAAATCCCCGTAAGCGCTGCTACAGACATCAAAATTAGCTTGCTTGGGGTTACAAATAATTGAGCCTTCCATCGTGAAGGCTCCGTTGCTGGCCACGGTATCACGACCATTTGGGAGTTGGGTATTATCTGGGTCCATGATCGAGAATGATTCGATAATCCCACAGTCAAGGAATCTACAAAGTTTGGAGTTCTACCCAAACCGAAAATTGTGTAGGGTAAATTGAGGCTGAAATGCGCCGATTGGGGTAATTGGGCGGACGCACCATGCCTGATGTTGCCCTCCTGTGTCGTAGTTTTATAAGAAATAAGCGGACCGGGCAAATTTGTACCATACGTTCGTCGCTTTTTCCCCACTCTCCCCATAATCATGGGGTTATTTTTATTAGTCAAACCGGTAAGTACCATTACTTTTATGAAATTAGCATCATAATCTAAGCTGTTTTTGAACGCAGCTGCCTTATATTCTTTATTCTGGTATGTTACAAGGATAACATCCAGAATACCATCTTGGTAGAAATCAAAGAATGCCGCCATTGCTGTGCCATTTTTGAAAGAACTTAAAGCGCCCCATTTGATGGCAAAAGAGCGTTTAAATTTGCCACAGCCAGTAAGGCATGGTACATTTTCCAAGAAAAACGACTGCGGATGTTCTGGATTATTAGGGGACAGTGTAGCCAATAAATCTGGATAGCCATCCATATTAAAATCACCACTGTGTAATGTGATGGTATCCATGTATTTGCTACCCTCTTTCAGGGCAAATCCCCACATTATCCCATTGTCGTCTCCAAAACTGACTCGCAAGTTGTGCCATTCACCGTTGCTGTACACCAGAAGGGAACTATTTTGGCAACTTTTGTCATAGCAAACTGGAGTCACTAAATCCATTTGTCCTTTCAATTCCACATCCATGAAAAGTGACTGTCCTATTCTTACTGTTTTTTTCGGATGTTCGATGGTTTTGTTAAACACGAATTTTCCTTTATGTTCATTGCCGTGCCAAATTTCAAAATCTTCTTTGGTTGTTATGAATAAGTCCGCCATGTAATCCTCGTTCAAGTCTGAAATAAAAAGGTTTTTTTAATGTAATTGGTTAACGCGACGTGTTAGCTATGTATTATTTTTGTGTCAAAAATACTATGGATTTTGTGTGACTGTGGTGATTCCACTTTAGAGGGTTTTACAGTGATTTAAATTTGAACCGTTTATCTGTGACAAGAGTATCTCTAAATAAAAATTAATATTGATTGAAATATAGAGTTTGAACTACATGCGATACTGGTTGTACTTCAGATGCGACAGATTTCTACGGAAATTACTTGACACATTTTTAATCATATTGTATCACCTGAATTTCAAAGTACATACATCATTTAGTAATTTCAAAGATTAATATTTGTCTAATAAAGTCGCCAACAACACGTAAAAACGGTAAACTTGTATCTTCGTATTCCACAAAACATGAAACGACAAGAAAATATGAAACTAAACGTCCGTCAAAATGACCCTAATACAATAAACCCCTAAACTACAGCTTAGAAATATGTGCATAACAAAATAAAAACAAACTGCAATTAAATTTATAGCATGCCAATTTTATTGTGGATATAAATTAGACAGTAGCTGAAAGAAAAAATGAAGAAGACATGTATAACAACAAAATAATATTAGACAGCAGGAAGAAACGGAAAAAATCAAAATAAAAAAAAATTAAAAATATACAAAAAGTAAAAAACGAAACGGACGAACGTTATTTTGACGAATGCCTAGTTTTGTTTTCGGGCTGTAAAACACTAACCAAAATTTTTCTGTTCATCCCATTCAAAAAACTGAAGACGTTATCTCAAAATATGTAGTTTTAAGTCAACTAACTGTAGACGAGAAGCACAGTTAGTTAGTTTCTTCAATTGTGGTTTAGCAATTTATTATTACATGCTATTAACTTTAAATGTCCAAAATCTATTCCTCTCCCCCCAAAAAATAGTTGCTATTTAAAAGAACTGTATGATCAATATTTATTGAAAAATATACGATATAGTTTGATAAATTTTTGCATTGGTGCAGAATAAGAATCTTATCTCGATAATATTTGGATACAAAGAACATAGAAGGTTATAGTCCAAGAAATCCCGCTTCTTTGAAAAATTATAAAATTTGATTTTTCGAGATTTCATTTGTCATAAGCTCTATTCACTAAAAAAAGTGGCTTACGCTTAGGACGCAAAACTATGATTATTTGTACTTTTTTAGATATTCTTTTAGAGTTTGTTCATTTTGTTTTTCTGAATTAATTAATGTATCATACTTTAATCATCCATACTCCGCCACTGGCTTTGATTCGAACGCGTTATGTTACGAAGATACACTTTGTTAACTTGTTTATACACTTCCCCACAAAATACGCACCACTTTGAAAACCGGGCTTTTTAAAATTTTTGCATTATTTCACATTTCTAGACTTACGTAGAAACACAATTTATGAAAGGAAAAAAACAACACTTATTATGATCGAACATTACGTTGTCAATTTTAAATAAATATTTCAAATAAATGCAACGAATATAAAAAAATGGTAAACTACGAATGCGGCATTAATTTTGTGGCAACGTATATTTGATCTGGTTATCGGATAAACGGTAGAAAATATTAATCCATTGATGATTGATGAGTCGCAAAACTATGCTGTGACTTGTAGAAAATGTTTAGATCAACATTTCAGCAAAAAAACGTATGTCAATTTCGACACGTGCAATACTAAGTCAAAGTGTAAAAAATGTTAACCACGACCACAGAAATCATTATATTTAGAAAATCTAAATGCCAGGAGACAAGCTCAAGACGGATTCATAAACCACAACTACAGAAATTTGTTATTTTATAAAATTTAAATGGTGTTTACTACAAAAAGTTTGAGGGAACCTCATCAAGTTGGTGTAGGGATGGTTAAGACAAATTTTGGTTAGTGTTTTACCATCTACATTCCTAATATACCTATAAAATTTCACAACGATTGGTCCTGCACTTTTGGAAACTATCCGTTTAAAAAAAATTATACAGAGAAACAGGGACCTATTTTTTTGTACCCTAGAGGTCATGAAACGTCACGTGCGAATTTTTTGAACAAAATTCAAAATTATACATCAAAATTTTACAATTTATTTTAGAAAGTAAAATTTAGGGTCAACTATTATCGTATCATTTTCACAACATCTCTAAAGAGGAATTTAAAAAAGTCTTTATTCTCTTCGGTTTCTGAAGCACGTTCTTGTTCATATTAGTCACTCCTGTACATGCAAACTTTTTAAAATTGAGTAGTGGTTTCATTTTACTTTTAAGGCGAAATCTCTATGTTTGGGACATGGAATTTTCAATTCATTTTCGAAATATAATGTCTTATTATTAACACGGTTTTCAACACTGTTTTCAGCTTACAAAACTACAAGTTATCTTAAAAATATTATCAATGGCTTTTGTTACAGTAAAAATATCTTTTTCGACACAAACTTCCCTAATCACAAACAGATATGATCACTCTGGAATTTTTTTGGAACTAGATATGAAACCGCTAGACTCTATTATGCATCAAGAAGAATCTTTTGTATACCGTCCAATTAAAACCCATAAGCTACCATTATTTTACAATGAGTTTTCAAAATGTGATCTTGCTAAAATATATGATGACAGTTTAAGTGCAGAGGAGGCTTTTGACAACTTTAATACGTTACTTTTAAATGTATTTTACAAAGTTTTTCCTGAGATAATAAGCAAACATTCCAAAAATAGGAATATAAATATTTTTTGGTTTAACGAAGATCTATGCAGAATGAGAAACACATTAAAGGCGGTAGATATAGTAGGCAAATGCACTAATTCCCATGATGATAATAGTCTCTACAACATATTAAAAAAAGATTATCACAGTAGCTTAATAGAGGCTAAAAAATCGGCCTATGATAATTTACTTAAATCTGCTCTTCACAAATCGAAAGCTGCTTGGACTATTATCAATCACGAGTTAAATCGAAAAAGAAATAACAACTTAAAACATAGTGGTATAAGTGCGGATCAATTTAACAATCATTTTAGTAATATAGGTCGAAGTATTTGTAACAACTCACAAACATACAACTCGGCAGTACATTTACAAAATTTAAAAATACAATCCAGTAACACCTTATTTGTAAGACCGACCGATGAAACTGAAATTTACAATTGTATCATGGGTCTCAAGGCATCGAATTCGAGAGATATTTACGACTTAAACACTACTGTAATAAAACACATATGTCCTCTTCTCTTGGAACCATTATCATTTTTGATTAATAAATGCATCTCAGAAGCGATATTTCCCAAATGTCTTAAGATTGCGAAAGTAATTGCTGTCCATAAAAAGGGTGACTTAAATAACCCCAATAACTTCAGGCCCATTTCATTGTTGCCCATATTATCCAAAATCTTTGAACTTATATTAAAAAACCGAATTGTACTTTATTTTGAGCAGAACAACTTATTTGTAAAGCAACAATACGGATTTAGGGCAAACAAATCAACAACTTTGGCTACACTTGAATTAATTGAAAATGTTTTGCTTAACTTTGAAGATCGAAAAATTACTTGCGCCACACTAATCGACTTGAGCAAGGCCTTTGACTGTGTAAGTCACGAATTATTGCTGCAAAAGCTGAAATTTTACGGCATTAGAGGTTTAATACACCAACTGTTATCGTCCTATTTAAAAAATAGAGTCCAAACAGTTTACGAAAAAAATAAATATTCAGAGCTTAAGACGGTTAATATTGGCGTGCCACAAGGATCAATCCTTGGGCCAATTTTTTTTCTTGTATTTATCAATGATTTTCCTGTAAACTCCTGTTCTATGAATACCATCCTATTTGCGGATGACACCACTCTAATTAATAGTGCAACCACGGTGGATGAAGTTAAAACCAAAGAAAATATTGCATTAAACAACACTTTGATTTGGTTATCACATAATGGCCTAGCTATGAACAAAGAAAAAAATCAATCAATAGTGTTTTCATTGAGACCGGAAGAAGTTATAGAATCTGAAACAGTCAAGTTCCTCGGCCTACATCTGGATAAAAAAATTACATGGGAAAGCCATGTTGATCATCTGGCTAAAAAATTAAACTCCATTCTCTTCCAACTGCGAAAATTAGTTCTGTTCTGTTCATTAGAAACTGTCTTGACTTATTATCATAGCAACTTCAAATCACTATTATCATACGGTATTCTTTTATGGGGTAATTCTTCTAGTGCCATACGAATATTTAAAATTCAGAAAAAAGCCTTAAGGATAATTTGTAAAATTAGTTCAAGAACTTCTTGTAAAAATTTTTTTCAATCTCTAAATATATTAACACTGCCTTGTTTGTTTATCTACTACACTTTAATCTATACTTTTGATAATCAATCCAAATTTTTTTTAAACTCTGACAATCATTGCTACAATACAAGAAATCGCAGTCAATTAACTATTCCTTATTGCCGTTTGCAAAAGACACAACAGTCGGTAAACTTCATCTCTGTAAAATTGTTTAATGCTGTACCATACACTGTCAAATGTCTTCCAAGAAATTGCTTTAAAAGTAGAATCAAAACAATGCTGCAACCACATAGTTTTTACTGTATTAGCGAGTTTATAGACTTTTGTGCTAACGGAAATTTAATGTAGTCATTTTTTAAGTGTTTGTGAATCTATATATATATATATATATGTTTTGTGTACAATCTTATATGTTATATAATTATATAACTTTTTTTTTTGACGAGCTTTAATGTACTTCTGTTACATATGAGCAATAAATTTATTATTATTATTTATTATTATTATTATGTATTGTTTAAATTTTAGTTTAATAAATACCCTCTGGTTGGGGAGCATACTTGTGGATACCAGTCATTAAAAGCTCTTATCCAACACGTCATGTTGTTTACTAACAACTTACCAATGAAAGCATGAGAATGAGGTATACTAAGCTCAGTCCTGCGCCAATTATCATCCATTGGTTTCTTCTCAGGTGGGCTTCTCGTATTATTAAACACCCAAAACACCCTTGCATTGTCTGTATCTTGCCCAAACAAATCTACAATCATGTCTTGATTATAGTCAAGCGCCAGCGGTTGTCCCTTCATAGGAATAGCCGCCCTTTCGCTACAGTTCAAATGGTTCGCGCCACCCCAAATTATATGTGCGTACGTATGAGGAAACCGATTTCTCTCACTTCCCTTATAAACTGTGGTGACCATTATGTCCATAAACGCATCACCATCAAAATCACCCGGTACCACACTAGTGATGATTTTATCATTGAAAGTGCAAAACAAACGATCTGGTTTGGCTTCACGTAGAAGTGGCTCCTCTTCATGTGCCAGTAGGATCTCGACAGTGTTTCCCTCGTTTCGTAGAACAAACACGTCAGTTAATTCGTCGGAATTAAAATCTCCAAATGCTGCTGGCATTCCATCGGTTAGTTGTCCAAAGACTAGGTTTGTAATGTCGCTGCATTGGGTTGTTTTGGTTAAAGCGAAAATACTTGCGATTAACGCAAGGAGATTGTGGAAAAGGGTCATTGTGAATACACTTTAACGTCTACAGCTGAAATCAACACACATTTCACGATTTTACGCTACTCGTAGTTCGCAGTAAACGCATTTCTATTATTTTGACACTGTTGACGTTTTGTAAAGTTAGTCACATTGTCAATAACATATGGTTTTATGTAGGTGTTTATTTTATCGATACGGTTACTCCAACGTGCAAATATAGATGGCGCTATAAGCTTTGAGGTTTATAAACTTTAGGCAGCTTTAGGTTACAGGAATAGTCGTTAACACGTTTTTTTACTTGTTTTGATAAATTGATAAAACTAACAGAGACATTTATTTTATATTATATCAACCAATCTTGAACCATTTAGATAAATAAGATATTATAGGCAACCCAAAATACACACATGCGCATTACTGAACACTACATTGTTATATGGAAAGCATTTTTTAATTGTTGCAGCTTTTCCTAAATGTTGCTTAAAAACAGTGTCTGCTTTTGTGTCTGTAAATGTCACGAGATATTTTTTTAACAACTTTATGCATGTTTTAAAGACAAAACATTAATGCATCTATGTTAATTTTAAATAATTAAATTCTTATGTGTTTACTGAAGTGTTTAATAAACTAACCAACATTTATTACTGCTTACAACTCTTTTTAATTTGAATATGTCTCAATATGGGTATTATCTCTAAAACAAATCATAAACGTGAAGCGCGATAAAACATCTTCTTTTAATTAGTTTGTAAAAATAGTTGGTCTTCGTTTTAAAATAGAAACATTTCTATAAAATGATACCAAACTGATCAACTGATAAAATTAACAAGGAAAGTTCATAAATTAAATAACACTTGCATGACTACAGTTATCATGGCCCATGACAAAAATTTAAAATTAACATAATTCTGTTACAGAATATTGACATAAATATTAAACTATTATAATCTTAAATATAAGTTAAATATAATAAATACTGAAATTCTGACTTGTGATCTAAAACATCAACGTTTATTAAGTAAATAAATACATTTTAACACGTTCCTTTGAACTATTGCATAACAAAATTTTAGCACAAAAAATATTTCTCGCAACAAACAATAATCTATTAACCTCTTAGCCGTGAAATGTAAGAAATAAATTGACCAAAAAAAAATATTTAACTTGATAAATTTAATGGAATGACCGTCGCTCGTTACTAGTTTATTTTAAACATAGCTAAATACAAATGTCGCTGTTTTGTTGCATTTACGTTACATTTTTTTACTGAGTTCTGCGTTAAAACACACAAGTCATCAAAATTAATAGAAGTACCATATTCTGTGCATCTTTGACTACAAATGATCTCTAAGTGACAATTTTGCCAGTGATTGATAACGGTGCGATTACATTAATACAGTGATCAAAATAATAAAATAATTTGGAAAATTTGCAAGCTTTATTAGGTGAACAAAATTAGTAAGCATTTGTGTTAAAAGGTTTTGGCAGAAATTTTACGTGGTTTTCTCGCCCGTCCAGCCCAAGGTTACACTCATATTTTGAACAAACAACGAACCTGAAATTAACAGGCGGATGTATTTATTTACAGTTTACACAAAAAGGTGCATACAATTTAATAAATAAAATTTACTTTCAATTCTCTGTAGAATTAAAAAAAATCGTTATAAAAACAACATTCATTTTTGAAGTTTCAAAAAGTTCCATTTTTTGCATACGGAAGCCAATTAAATAATAGTGGAATTTACTAAAAATATATTTACAAAAAATAAGACGTTCACATTTTTTATTTTTGTTATCTGTTCTATTTCACAACATTATGTTTAATTAAATTTCTATTTTTTATCACAAATAAAAAACTTGGAATTGAAAGTAACTTTGACTATAACTTGCAAAATTAATTATGAGATTACATTGTGACATTTTAAAGTTGTTGATTTTTTTCTTCAAATAAGTACCCTATTTTTACCGCAAATATTGCATATTACAACAACAAAAATTAAATTGTCATATATTTATAAATATGTTGTACATTTTTGCGATTTTATATCAAATTTTTGTTACAGAACAAAACGCTACTTTTTTTAAAACGACTTTATTCTGTCGTAATAGAACACCTTTGTTTGCGTTCTGAAACACTTTGTAGAGATTAATCTTTATAATCAAATTACGATTGTATTACAGACATTTCTGATGTATAACTTAATGAGTTGTTTGAACTAATTGGAATTACATGTACCCTGATTACGTACGTGATGAGAGTAGATTTTGTGCTTAAAAAATGTCAGTCTAATAAGTACATAATATCAATTGTATCTTTATTTAGTTCCAATAAGAGAGAAATTTACAAAAAATATTTAATACGTGGTTAGTTAATATCTTTTTACCGTTTACTGTAGATCAACAAGCGTTGATTTTACTTCTTGACTTGCAGAAAATATCAGTCCCTATTAAGGTTATGGAACGAGTTATAATTAAGATTGCAATATTATCGGAAGGATAGGTAGTTATTCAAATTACAAAACTTGTTTTAATGGATGGTACAGTAGTTAGATCGCTACGATGTTTTTTTTTTTTGTTTCTTGGAATGAATTAAAATTAAGGGATTACTCTGTTAAAAACTCTTGCTATTTTACTTCTCAGACGAGGTAATTTCAAAGTTTCAGTCAAACAGTCTAGTTTTAAACTTTCCGTTAACTCTGCCTACTGCAGATTCTCCGGCTTGTAAATTTCCACTACGATGAGCAATCCATAAAATTTTCTTAAAATTCCGATGTTTGACTTATTAATCACCCAAATTTCTTTATAAAACGAAAAAGGAATCTTTCCTTAAAAATGCATTTTGTTTATTCTAAAAAAAGCAGTATATTAAACAACTTACTTGGGGATAAATTTGAAAACATGAACTTTCTCCATTGTTTGTTCTTTTTTGTTTAATTTTTTTTGAATTCGTAGAACCCTTGTCTTGAATTTGCGAACGAATGTTGTACATCAAATATGGTTAAATTAAACGAGTAGATTATGAATAATAATAAATCATTAAAATCGTGAAAAATCAAAAATAAATTAACTGTTTTTACAAAAATAATAGGCAATAGAAAGTAAAAAAAAGTTCTTACTTTCAAAATTTTATTTAGTGTACCTATCACACCTTGTATCAGCGTGCAAATTAGACACCCACATATTGTTGTTTAAAATATTAGTCAAAAACCTACATATAATTATAAATTCGAGTACTTACGAAATATTACTATGTAATTATTTTTACATAAATACACTGAGAAATCGTTTGGCAAGTAAAGCAAACATAATTCTCGTCAAAAATTAATTGTAATCAGTAAAGACAATTACACACGAAAATTAGTTTGAACGTAATGTCCGTAATAGCTTCATTATGTTGATTTATTTATTCCAATTTTGTCTGTATTATTGTATTGATGTTCCCATAAATTATAAATAACCACGAACTTTTTTTTATAAATATGTGTAGTGAATGGTAAACGATCGAAATAAATGTGTCGCGCCAAAAATAGATTGTGGATATTATTGACAACATTACTTCACAAAAATAGAAATTATTGCAGAGGTACTGAATACACCCATTATTTATATTTTATAAACTTCCGACCAGACAGACGGATATTCATCAAATTTTCATAGCTACAGCGTTCGGTTAACGATACACTACTTAACCGATCCACATTATATTTGATGAGTAGTTTTGCCTAAAATCAAAACAGGGTTTTTTAGTGTGTATTGATCATATTCACCAGCATGTTGTGTTTGGTTTTTTAGTAGAAATGTGCAGTAACAACTTGAAATCAAATCAAGGTAATTTAAAAAAAAAATCTGTTTAACGTATAATAACTAGTATCACGTACCTACATTCCAGGACGTGTTTTCCAATACAAACTTATTTAATAAGTTATTTGAAACGACGTCACCAATTTTGTGGTCAGAAGGAATGTTTTAGTTGATATTCTGTAATCCATAAGATATTGTTAGTATCATTGCAAAATTCGTGGAAGTCAGGTATATAGTTTCACAAATAAATTATAAAATTTGTTTCACTTACCGTCTTACAAGACAAACGTTAAATCAATGAAAAAGCTATAGTTGTCTCTCTTGGTCTGTATGTTAGCAGAGATGAAACAGATAGAAGAACCATTTGTTACACTTGGGAAATAAATAGTATTGGTTATAATTTCTATTGCCACAAATAAAAAGTCAATAGAGCTTATTAAGTCTTATAATTGAAAACCTTGTAATTACATTAAAAAATGGTAATCAGGTTTTAGATTGAACTGTAACAGTTATTGTTAACTTATCTCATGATTAATTGCAAATGCTGAATACCGCAACAAAGATACTTCTTGCACTTGTTCAGTACAATAGCTCTCAAAGACCTCATTATCAGTTAATTGGAATTCAGCCTAACAGCGAACTTATCGACAACAAAATGAAGACTTGCCTCTGTTACATTATACCATTCAGAAGTACTATGAAATTGTATGTTATTAGTTGGCAAGGGCGAGTATAAACTGAATGCATTTCCATTAAATATTAATTGACAAACTTTTAAAAGCGAATCAATAAATTCATTCGTATTCGTTAAAAAAATTGATAATCCTTTCCCGACACGAAAATTTCAGTTATTACACTATTTTTCAAGATAACTTATCGTCTGCCCCCATAATAACCTATTATCCCCTTTCCATCAATCATCGAACGATTCTTACTTTTTTGCTGCATCGAAAAAAGTCACTAGTTTGGAAGTGGTGGTTAACCTCTGACCTCAACAGGGTTAACACCGTTATAAATCCTGAAACAGATCGGTCACCTTATCAGTTTGCTCAGTTTTATGACTTTCATGCTTATCAGCTACGAATTTTGTTAAGTAGTTAATTGCATGAGAATATTTTCTGGGCTTTTTTACACAGTGGAACACACTCGTGCCGTATACCTACGGTGGAATTTATTTACGCTTAAATCCATACTCGGCGAGCGTTATCGCGATAAATAACGATGAATATTGCATTAGGACAGTAATAAACCCTTTACGAAAGAATTAAAACTGCTTGTTTATATATACACCGGTTTCACTGGCACTCGTTTCCACCCGATCTACTAGAATTTAATTACCACAACCTTTTTTGGTGTAAAAAACA